GAGCGGGATGGGTAAAAGACAAGATTGAAAAGACAGAAATCCAGGTACTCAAGGATGCTCTGAGTTTTGTCATTTCTTTCAAGTTCTCTGCTTGGTGCAGTTGGTGTGTGTGTGGGAGGGGTGTCTGTGTCTATGTGTCCTGTGTGTGTGTGTGTGTGTGTGTGTGTGTGTGTGTGTGTGTGTGTGCGCGCGCGCGCGCGCGCATCAAGCACTAAATACCTGTAACATGAAGTAAGCCTGACTGGATTCTAAGACCTAGAGGACCAACTTGAAGTTAGAGAAGCAACTGGAACTGTGCATGAAGAGTCGAGGGGTTCACACAAGGGCTCTCCTCTCTGACCCCAAGAGTTGCCTTACAGGTTACAGCCTGTCAATGGAGCTAACCCTGACCGGGCTGTCCAGTCCATTGGCCCGACCACCCTGACCCAAGAGTGAGGCTACAGCTGTACATGTCCAGAGCAGAAGTAAGTGCAAGATGCCTAGGGGGAGGGGGAATTGTTTTCTTTCCCACTGGAGCTACAGCCTCCTGGAGGCCCATTTGTGCAGCTCTCTTCTCCCTATGGGTGCTGCTGAAAGCGCAGCATGAACTTCCCACAGAGCACCTAGAGCCCTTGGTCAGAGAAATGTGGCATTCATCAGTGCTAACCTTCCTGCCCCAGGCAGGATGGAGCAGCTGTTAACCACCGAGATTTCAAGTTTCTCCTGCTCACTGGCTCAGAATCTAAGGGACCCTGGCTCCATGCAGTGCTAGCTGGCTGGTCAGGAACCTTCCTCTGGGAAGGGCTGGGAAAACGGATGTTGACTGGGTCTGAAAGTTCTAGCAGTGTGCTGAACCAGCTAACCAGCACTGTGTTGCTTTCTCCCTGAAGAGCCCTGGGAAATGGGGAGCAAAGACAGAATGTTTGCAGGGACCCATCTGTGTCGTTGAAGCCCAGCCTCCACCTACTCACAGCTGCTGCTCTCTCTTCCATTTGGAATCTTCCCACCTGACCGAGAGAGCTCCACTGGACTCTCAATGGGAAGTCTCTGCTTCTTGGGGTTACAGGGAATGAGTTCGACCTTGGGGACATCGCTGTTCCTTCCTGCACAAAGTGCAGGTGTGGTGCAGCCCTCTTTCCTCAGGCTACAAATCCAGTCCTTAAGCTAAAGTATCTTTGCATGGGCCGGAATCAGCATCACAGCTCTTCCTTTTGTCCTTGTCATAAGAGAACTGGGCTGGGCCTATGTTTCCCTCTCTATAGGTTCTATACCCACTCTATGGGAGGGTTCCTCATAGAGAGCTAAGATGGATGGTAAAGGGCTTGGCAGAAGCTACGGCCAGTGTGTGAGCAACAGATACAATTGTCTTCTCCACTGCACTGTAAGCACTGGATGTTAGTCACCCCCAGGACCCGGTACAAGGCTTGGAACAGAGAAGTTCCTGTGGTGAGGAAACTCTGGATCATCCTTGAGCTGGAAAGGAGAGGCAAAGCTGCCCCTTGGGGAGCTATCAGAGCACAGACCAGAGGTACCCGCCCACTTAGCTGAACTATCCAAGTCCCACCCTTGAAAGAGTATACATTGTGACCTCTTGCTGGACCTATGCAGAAAAGGTGGAAACACAAATATGAGTTTCAAGAATGCAGCTCTGAAGACCGTTCCCCTGAGGGTTTAAGAGATGTGACACCCTTGGCTCCCTGGGTTCCTCAAGGTTGACTTGGGGTTCCATGTGAGAACCAGTATTAAGAAAACAACAAAAGCTGTTTGGAGTAGGTGTGTGTGTGTGTGTGTGTGTGTGTGTGTGTGTGTGTGTGTGTTACGCATGAGAGTTAGAGAAACCAGGTTGAGAAAGGCAGGGCTGGTTCTCATAAGACAAACCCCTTTCCTTTCCTTACAGCTTTGAGTTCTAGGACAAAGCTCAAGAGAATTGGAAACAGCAATTCAGAGGTACTTCTGCAAGGATAGTCTCTCTCTCTCTCTCTCTCTCTCTCCCTCTGGGACCAGCAGCATAGAAAACTTCACCCTGAGTCCCTAGCTAGTGGGGGGGGGGGCACTTCAGACTGGCCATGGACTGTGCAGATCAATCCAGAGGCAACTCTGGGGATATCCTTTCCTTGATCACGCCTCTCTGCTCAGTGCAGGACACCTAGTACACAAGCGAAGTTGTGGGCCAAGAGAAGTTCAGGAAATCTGGGCCAGCAGGAAGGCATGGCATTAAGAGCCCTGAGTGAACCTACTGTCTTCTGCTTGGCATCTCTGGAGACCCTGGGTGTTTGAGGCTTTCCCTAAACACCATTGTGCTGTGGCAACAGAGAAGGCAGCTGACTGGCAGCTGGAGTTGGGGAAGTACTTGATGCAAAAAAAAAAAAAAAAAAAAAAAAAAAAAAAGCTATTTTCTCTGATCCAAGAGCCTCAATATTCATCAATACAAAACGAATGGGTGGATCAAGCCAGGCTACTGCCTTCGGAACAGGCTCCAGAGTGAGATGTGTTGAAACACATGAAGTCTGAATTGAGACCCTTAACTCCCTCTACTAGGTTCAGGCAGAATAAGAGAACTCTGGGACTAAGAGTAACAACTGAAGGGAAGGAGGGCTCACCAAGGCAGAAGAGCAAAACAGCTTCATTCAGGCAGCCTGTTTCCCTCCAAATTCCTCCCAACTCCCTCCGAAGTCCTCCTGTGTCTACCCTGAGCAGAGCACCTCTCCTCAGAACTAAGACCAAAGTATAAAATAGCAAAGCAACCAGTATTTTAGACCAAAGTAGGGCAATCTGTTAGCTATTTTGATGAAGCAATCAGATACTTTGGGGAAACCTAGATGGGGGGGGCATGCCTGTACTGCACACTCAGGAGATGGTTGTGAATTTGAAGCCAGGGTAGTCTAAATAGCCAAGTTCCTGACTAGCCAGCAAAACATCCTGAGATTTTTGTCTGAAGAAACCAAAACAAGTAAGTGATACAAGACCTAGATTTTTGTCTCATTTGTCAGAAAATTTCAAGCCTGTGGTGGTTTTTATTGCTTGTTTGTGGAAATACAGCTACAGGTGTCTCTCTCTCCCTCCTTCCCCCTCTCCTCTGCCTCAGAGCTTCACTCCTCACCCATGCTCACCCATCTTGTTTCCAGGATAAAATGGGGTGAGTCCCATTTAGTCCAGAAAGATGTCGTTTTACAGATCTCATCTGACATTTTGGGGGCTGGAGAAGAAATAAAACGCAGAAAACTCGCCACCACCAGTAAGTCTGCAGAACATTCTTCAGGTGGCAACAAAGGGACAGAGAAAGGACGACTACATTGTTAATTTTGATTTTCAATGAGTTGCTTTCCTTTATTAGGGCAAAACAGCTACCACTGTTGTGACAGAGCAATGGGACTTGCAATAAAGTCACTAAAAGACAATCTGGATTAAAACCCATAAGGTGCCACTGAGGCACACAAAAGCAGTAGGGAGCAGTTTAAAGTCAATGCGGGCTGGTCTCCTGCAGGCGAGCCCTACTGGGGAACGTTTCTAATAAACTCGCTCTTCCCCATCTCCAGGCCTTCCGTAACCAAGTGGCTGAGAACTAAATCCAGGCAGACTGGAAAGCACATTACCTGCCTCATTATTCCGCTGTGTGAATGCTGGAGTTTTAATTACACACTTGCTTTTTCTGGGGAAGACCAAAGATCGTATTTTTTAAAGTATCAACTTGTTTTCCATTAGGCAGTTGTTGTAACAAGTTCTTTCAGCGACATGTTATGTCTTTAGGAAGGGATGCTTCAGATGGCGCGCACTAGCACAATTTTGTGGCTTTTAATTACTATTTTGTTCTTTTGGGGGGTTTCAGAGGCTGGCGCCTGGGCGTGATTAGGCTGTCTACCAGGCCTGTGGCAACCTCGATCACTGTCCACCAGGTGGCACCACGAAGCAGGCGCTATCGTAGAATCTTCGGACTTCTTGGCAGTTCACCCAACTCGTCCATCACCTTCCCACTGAAAATCCCAACCGACAGAGAGGAGAGAGGGAGAGAAAGGGAGAGTAAGAGAGAGGGAGAGAAAGGGAGAGGAGGGGGGAAGGAAAGAGGAGAGAGAGAGATGGAGATAGATCATCACTTTAACTTAATCAAAAACAAAACAAAGCACCAGAGAGGAGAAATTACAACAGCGGAGAAAGGTCCTCAAACACGAAAAATGTAAAATAGAACTCAGCACACAAAATAAAACTTTTTATGTTTATTGTTTATCTCAAAAAAAAAAAAACCAGGCTAAGTGTGATTGAATCGATAAATCTCTAACATTACTTCGGTATTTTTTTTTTTAATTCCCTTCGTAAAAACACCGGTTCAAAGGACTCTGAAGGCTGTCTACTCTGGCCTACCTTTCCCAAAGAGGAAGCCCCAGAATCGCTTTCCCACTTAGCCGTGCTTCGTTACTCGAGGCCTTTATGTGTATAAGGAAAAGTAATTTCAAATACATTATTAGTAATAATACCTTTGGGCTTATAGAGCTCTTCTCTCAAGCAACAAGGAAAAGCGTTAAATATTATCCAATTAATTGTCTAATATCTCTGTGGGTTGGTTGGGAAGCGTGTATTATTAAACACGGTTTATGGATAATTTAAATCAATTGACCGTCAGGTGAGTGGCTGATGAGAGTAAAAGTGTCTGGAGGTATAGGAGTCAGAGCTGGCTCGGCCCTCTGCCTGGCTCCATTTGATTAACGTGACCTCGGACAAGATGTAAATCGTTCGACTTGGCTCTTGCAAGCAGAGTAAGTAGCGTGGGAGACCCCACTTCTTGCTCTAAGACCAGACGCCTTCCGTCCTGCTGCGGGCCATCCTGCACCCCATCTCGTTCCAGGTCCGGTGCCCCCTTTCTACTGTGGGTCTTGCACTCACCCACCGCCGCCGCCTTGCCCGCCACGTGACACGGGTCCCCCTGGCCGCCGGGTCGCGGACTCCCGGCGCCCCGCGGCCCATTCCTTCTGATTGGCTGTTGCTAGGTGACGTCGCCTGTAGTCACGTGGCAAGTGTTAAATGCCCACCCTGCAGGAGCCCGCCCGGCAGACAATCGTAAAGCTGCTCGGGGGTCGCTCACCTGCTCCCGCCTCCTGGAGCCCCTACCGGGCCTGACCACTCCTGCCCCCTCCATTGCCCGCCCCCTGCCCGAGCCGGGCCAGGAACCGAGAGGTCCGAGAGGCCGGGGAAGGATGCGGCCAGCAGCTGCGGTCCCGAGCCACGCATGGTGATCGCCTCCTCCAGGGGAGGAGGCGCCTAGACCGTTGCCTCATTTCTTGTTTTCCTCTCCCTCCCCCCTCCCCGTAATTACATTGGCTGCTGGAAGGGACCTGGAGAGACAGAGGAGGCGCCTCGCATCCCCCTCTCGCCCGCCACCCGTGCTCTTTCCTGTCCCGGGTCAGGATGACTGGAGTCTTTGACAGTCTGGTAGCTGATATGCACTCGACCCAGATCACCGCCTCCAGCACATACCACCAGCATCAGCAGCCCCCGAGCGGTGCCGGCGCCGGCCCCGGCGGCAGCAGCAACAGCAGCAGCAGTAACGGCAGCCTGCACAAGCCCCAGGAGTCGCCAACCCTGCCGGTGTCCACAGCTACCGACAGCAGCTACTACACCAACCAGCAGCACCCGGCGGGCGGCGGCGGCGGGGGGGCCTCGCCCTACGCGCACATGGGCTCCTACCAGTACCACGCCACCGGCCTCAGCAACGTCTCCTACTCCGCCAAAAGCAGCTACGACCTGGGCTACACTGCCGCGTACACCTCCTATGCGCCCTACGGAACCAGTTCGTCCCCGGTCAACAACGAGCCTGGTACGCATAACGCTGGCATCTAGGGTGTCAAAGTCGGCCTGGCCACAGGGAGGGACCGGGTAAGCATGGAGGAGGAGGGGGAGGAGGAGAGTCCGGAGCTGTAACCTTGCACTCAGTCCACCTCCTGCTCCTGCCCTTAATTCAGCCCAATCTCGAGCGGCCCGCGAGTCACTGTTTCTGTCCCTCCAGTTCCGCCGGACAGACCCAGTGGGCTGTGGGGTTGAGTGACATTCCGTGCATGCCTGTGGGGTAGCGCATTTCCTTGCTGCCTGCCTCCCGGTTCTCTCCCGCACAGGTCTCCCGGTGTCTGCAGGGTTCCGTGGCTGGGCCAGTCTGCACGTGCTGAAGGTGCAGACGCCGCCTCCAGGCTCCCGCCAAGTTCGCACAGGCCTGGCTGAGAACTTTAGGACCCCGGGTGGTGGGTCTGTGGGGTGGTCACGATTCCTTTTTGTTGCAGACAAGGAAGACCTAGAGCCTGAAATCCGAATAGTGAACGGGAAGCCAAAGAAAGTCCGGAAACCACGCACCATCTACTCCAGTTTCCAGCTGGCGGCCCTTCAGCGGCGCTTCCAGAAGACCCAGTATCTGGCACTGCCGGAGCGAGCCGAGCTGGCGGCATCTCTGGGCCTCACTCAGACTCAGGTGGGCGAGGTGGGCGTTAGCCTGGTTTAGCTGGGAAGCAGACGCATTCGGGACAACTTTTCAAAAGTATATTTTCATCTGTGCGTTCTCGCAACATAAACTTCTAGGCCCAAAGCTAAACAAATAAACAAATAGTAAATAAATGATAAATAAATAATCAAAAGGGACCGCCGCGAGGGAGGGAAGAACCCGGGTGGACAGAAATCCGATACTAGCTCGCCTTTCCATTTGCTGCTGATAAAGCGGGTGACATAACTGACCTCCTGACACCACGGTCCACAGACCCCTGGTCATATAGTTAGAGCTCAGACATCAGCTTTTTTGAGATGTCTTAATGCAACCAGAGCAGCTGGACCCAGAGGCCGGGCAAATACCCAGGTGTCTCTATGGCCACCTCTAACCGGCGGCCCGACCCTACTCTGCCAACTTCCTGCCCAGGTTCCTGCACTAAAACTCAGGCGCTTTTCCTTTTTTTCAACAAAGGTCAAAATCTGGTTCCAGAACCGCCGATCCAAGTTCAAGAAGATGTGGAAAAGCGGTGAGATCCCCACAGAGCAGCACCCTGGAGCCAGCACTTCCCCGCCTTGTGCCTCCCCGCCGGTCTCGGCGCCAGCTTCCTGGGACTTCGGCGCGCCGCAACGGATGGGGGGCGGCGGCCCGGGCAGCGGAGGCAGTGGCCCGGGCAGCTCCAGCTCCAGCCCGAGCAGCGCCGCCTCGGCGTTTCTGGGAAACTACCCGTGGTATCACCAGGCTTCGGGCTCCGCTTCACACCTGCAGGCCACTGCGCCGCTCCTGCACCCCTCGCAGACCCCACAGGCGCACCACCATCACCACCATCACCACCACGCAGGCGGGGGCGCCCCGGTGAGCGCGGGGACGATTTTCTAACCCTGAGGAATCGGCACCAGAGACTTGAAAACTGAGACAAGGTGTTCTTCAGTACGCTATAGCTCCATAGCTAGAGGCTCGATCCTGCCAGCCGGAGACCGCCACCCAGCCATACTGAAAGTGGCGACTGGGGGTGGGGGTGGGGGGTCTGTCGCGGGGCCGCTCTTCGCTCTGCCACGGAGCAGCCGAGAACAAGCAGGCCTTGTAGGATCCTCTAGTGCCAAGCCCGGCACCCCTGACCACAATTTCGACATGAGCCCCGGCCACTTTGAGGCCCACCTCGGACTTGTCGCCCCTTCCCAGCCCTCTTAGCGTGATCCTCAGGGTCCTTGGTCTCTCTGGTCCCGAACTGGGTCAGGCACAGGGACGCCACTCGCCCTCGAGGCTTCCCGGCACTCAGAGGTTCCTTTCTCCTAGCCTGCCCCAGGGCTCAGCTCCTGTCAGCTTCGGTTATTGACCTCCCGGGCCCTGCCCCCCCCCTCCACGAACCCCCATGACCACCAGGATCCAGCCGGTTTTTTTCTTCCTTCCTGGGGGCAGAGGGGGGTGGTTCCCAGCTCTAGAAACCTAGATCTCTTCCCGCCTTCGCCAGGAACATTCCCATAGCTCCTCATCCATCACCAGTGGAGTTTTTTTATTTTTATTTTTTTAAAAGTTTAGGTGCCTTTGCGGATGACCTCATTTTGATGTTTAAAAAAACTGATTTTTTTAATATGTGGACGCTGCAAAAAAAATGTGTTTAAATTATCTTTTTTAAGATGAATTAAGGACTATTAGCCCGGACTTCGACACAGTTTGTAAATAAGGGTGTCTGTGCAGATTTCCCCACGTTTATTTGTATAAAATTCCTCGTCTTTTCAGACATTTTTTGTAAACCCCCCCAGTTGTGAAAACTGCAACTTAGCAGTGACCTCAGCAACCCCTTCGTTTTATTTTTTTCCCTTTGAAAATTTTTCTCAGTTAAATTAAGCTACTGATTTGAATTTGTTTTTATCTTGTCCTAAAGTCTTTGTTCTTGAAATGCAAGGTATTTGGGGGTTATTTATTATGAAAGCAACATACTCTTAATGTTGATTTTACAATATGAAGAGATTATTTAAATAAATTATTGTTTTCATTGGAGTGTGTACTTTTTCCTTGGTGCCAGGGTTCCTTCCGCTCGGACCTTGAACGATTGATTACCCGGCTCAGAGTCGGATGAACAGAACTGCACACTTGCGTCTTTCCCAGGCTGCGTTGGCCACGAGATGCACACAAGTTCGAAACAAGACTTTTGGGCCTTGGTGAAGGGTTCAGCTCCTCCCCCGCCCGAGTCCGCGCGCAGTTCTCGAGCCTGCGGCGCCGTGACTCACTCAGCGCCGGGCGGCTCCTGCCTCCGCCCGCCTGGCCCCTCTGGCGCCGGCGCCACCGCCCCGCGCCTGGGCGGTCTGAGCCGCCACCGCGTCCTCGGTGCTGGCCAGGCAGTGCACCCGAGCCGCCGCGGGCGACTGGCTGCCCCGGACCTAAGCTCTGCAACAGTCTGGGATCAGACTCCTACAAAGGTCCCTCCCTCCATTTGCCCCCGAGGCCCTTCGGGAGCTGCCTGATCCCAGAACTCTGTGAGTCACCCTCGTGAAGCACGGTTGGCTGCTTTGGAATGCTAGGCAACCCCTGCGTAGAGTGCTGCGCTGGTACACACATGCTCTTGCTCTCAAACACACTCTTGTTACACGTGCTGACACAAATTCACAAACACGCAAATACATTCACAGCGGCATACTGGATGCATATTGCTGTGGAGTGGCGTTCTTGCACCTCACACTTTTGAAATGCAAAGTTCCACACAATACTCAACTCTGCTTCACACCACAGGCCTTGAAGGACCAGCTACCAGCTTTGGAAACGACCCTGCTTTCTGGCGCAATGCAGGTCTAAACTACAAGCCTGTTTTATTCAAAGCTCTGGCATCTGTAGGTGGAAGCTCCCTAGCTGTCAAGCCCTGACTATGTGACCTTGGGCAACCCTCTTAGCCTCTCTGTGATGCCATTTGCAGATCTCTAAGATAGGAGAAATAATAACAGTTATGGCTCAGAATAGTGAGCAACTTAATGAACCCTTGATGAGGCAATGATATAACAACGCCTGACATGTGATAAGCACTAGATACATTTTGGCTATTTCGTAGTTACCATTACTGCTTTTATCACAATGTTCCAAATCAGGAGGGGGCTTTATTTACCAAGTACGGCTTTACTAAAGACACATTTTCAATTTCGCTTCAAGTGGAAGGGTTGGGGCTATGGAGGTTCTGATCTCTTTCTACAAGAAGCTTGAACTTCTGCCATTCCCTCCAAAAGATCAGCCTCTACTGGAGAGGAACTAAGGCCCAGACCAGGAAATCCTGCTTGCCAAATTCGGGCCTCCTCTCCTCCAGTTTAGATGGGTCATCCATGTATCTTCTACTCATGTTTAGTCGGGGCGGGGGGAGGGAGGAGCGTGAAATGGAGATGACTTTCTGGACTTGGCAGCAACATCCTGGAGCGAATACTAACTTTTCTGATGAAATGGGTTTGGGGCCTGCTCAGAGTGACCCTGGATGGGCACTGAAAATGAGGAGGCTGAACAATTGAGAATAGTCTGGGGATTTTGAGTTGCCCTATGAAACTACTGCCTATCAAAACCCACCTCTTAACCACCCCTTGTCTTCCCCCCCCTTCCAAATTCTAGTGTGTGTGTGTGTGTGTGTGTGTGTGTGTGTGTGTGTCCCCATCCCTATGCGCACCAATAACTAGTACCAGTCTTTCTCCTGGGATTATGCCCTCCCCTCCTTTGCGCACACTCCCCTCCCTGGCTCCTGAAACCAGCCGGGAAAGATGGGGCAGTAAATTGGCTGGTGTCGAGGATCTGCAGCAGACAAGATGATTAAGAGGCCTACGCCGGAGCGCCCCGGGCAGGGAATGTCAGCCCAAGTTGGAATCACGCAACAGGCCTTGGCATGAGCCGCGCCTGGGAGCCGGGAGGGCGGGCGGCCCCTCTCCGGGGTGGGCCGAGGCCCCACAGACTCGCCGGAGTCACCAAACCTGGCACTCGGCGGCGGCGGGGTCGTACAGGGCCAAGACGCGCCTTTCGCCCGGCAGCGGGCAAAGGAGGGTGCAGGGACCAGGGGGAAGGGGGCGTTCCCGTGAACAAGAAGAGGGACCAAAGAGGTCGCAAGGATGCACCCGCGTTCTAAAAGTGAGGGGGCGGGGGAGCGGAGGGGTGGTCTAGGGGGAGAAACAAAGACAGGCTCCAGGAGGTGGGGGCAGGCTCCAGCCCCGCCAGGGGCAACGCGCAGGCAAACCTTTCTCACAGTCTGGGGGCCCGCCCGGAGACGCCAAGCCCTGTGATCAGCCCGCCGAAGTGCAGACACCCCCACCCCCCTCGCGCGCTAGGTTGAGCTCCCTAAAAGCGCGGGTGAAAAATGGAAAAGGGAAGCAGAGATTTCGGCTCCCTGCACTGAGAAACCAGCCGCTCTCGGAGCACACATAAATCTTCATTGTAATCCACTTCCATTTACTCGTGCAAAATATCAGGCCAGACACAGGATATGACAAGAGATGGGAAGCGGTGTCAGGGTAGGACCTAAGGGGTGTCCGACCTTCCCTTCTCCATACTCCCGAGGGGCTCCCCGCATTCCCATACTCTGGCAAAAATGAAGGTACAGAGTTCTTTAGAGCCAGCCGCCGGCGGCCCAGAGATCCCGCGCCCTCCGGCGACACTCCCAAGCAGGCTCTCTAGGCGCGTCCTGCTCTGAGGCAAGGCGGGCCAACCGGTCTTTGCATAGAAACCCCTCCAGCTGTCCCAAATTCCCAGTTCCAGGGTTGGGGAAAGGCAGAAAGGAGATCCTAAGCATCCCAGGCCTCATCTGCTGGCTTCCAAAATGGGAACCTTTAGAAGGCTCCCCCTTCGGCCTGCTTTCAGAAACACTTGTGAAAACTGTGAATACCCGTGCCTAGTAAGGATTTCCGAGGCTGGTGGGGCAAGTTTGGAGGAAGTGTCAGGTTTATTGAGGGCGGTGAGAGCCGGAGAAGGTTGGAGCTTTGTTTACAAACAGTTCTCAGACACAAGAGGCAGAAAGAAAGAAAGGAAGGAAGGAAGAAAAGAAAAGAAAAGAAAAGAAGGGGGTGTAGAAAAGGAAGAACTAAAGCTGAGCAGCATCTGATCTCCCTTCCTGCGAACCTTCTTCCCAACTCCTGGGATTGCAAAAAGGCCCTTAGCCTTTCAAAGGGCAGGGCAGTACGTACACACTCGAGAGCTAGCAACTGCTCTTCTCCAGACGCCACCAGCACTTGCTCAAAGCTTCCAGCCCGCCCCTTTGCCTCCCGGAAACAGCGACCGCCTATTTAGGGTCAGATTTTTTTTAGACTCAAACTATCTTTTCCTGAGATGAACACAGACACTCCCTTCTTACTCCAAGTTGGAGCCAGGTCTCCGAAGCAGTGGAGGGTGGCTCTCGACTGGGGACCATCTACAGCGAGGTCCTAGCTATGAGAGGACTAGGCTCTCCCTAGACTAGCCGTCCTTCAGTGCCAAGATACCCAAATCAGCCCTAAGAAAACCTCCTCACGTCAAGTCTTTTCCCCTCCTGGGATCTGCCTAGAGAGCAATCTCCAGCCCACATCACACAAACACACCCTAGTGCAGACGGGATGTGGAGGCCCACACCCCTCCGAAGCCCCCCTCTCGCCCCCCCCCCGCGCCCCAGCAGGAGTTCCCCTAGCGGGGACGGGTTTGGCAGTGATTGCCACATTACAAGATGTTACATTCCGCCCTGGGGCCTCCGGTTAAGAGAGAATATATTTCAGTAGGTTGGATCCGGAGGAAGCAGGCAGGTCTTAGGAGCAGCCACTTGGCGCCTCCACGTGAGGACGGAGTCTCCAGACAGACTCCTCTCCGGGGTCGCTCTAGCTTAGTTAGGGCTTCCCACTTGTCCTCCCTGGCCAAAGTACAACCACAGCAGCATTCCTCGCATCCTCCAGAGTCCTGCAGTCCCGGCGTCACTGGTTATGTCACATTTTTTTTTTTTTTGTCCGACCCTCGCTCTAGAAAAGAAGGAAGGAGGAGAAAGTGTCCCCAAGAGAGACAGGAGCAGTGGCAGAAGGCTTACAAC